AGCATCTATTTTAAACTGAAACCTTTTTCATAATTGATCAATTGAAAAAAAAAATTCATTCTGAAATTCTTATTTAGTATGACTCTGCCCACATTGTTGCTATTGTTCCATGGTAATAAATTGACAGATTAAAGAGAGAAGTATTCCATCTTGAAAGCAGAACTAATTTGTTAACATTAGTATGCTATTGCACTTTGAATTCAGTGTAACTCTCTTATTTTCAATAAGTTCACACATGAACAGTTTATGGCAATTTAAAATGGTTTCCAGTTAATTAAAAAAAAACAGCATTCAAATATTCCTAGCATTAGCACAATGCTTGATTTTTAAAGGCATATAAAAGTAAGGAATACGCATTATTAAGAATGCATTCTGCATTTTAAAAAGTCAGAGGTAGGATATTTATTCTTCATTTTCTAATATTATCCCTCACCTTCATGCTAAATAAATTTATTTTGGATTTTTTTTAAAGAAAAAAATATGTTGGAATTCTCTTAAGTGAGTATAAGCATCTTGCATTTATTCTGGGTACAACCCACAACCCAATGTAGCTTAAATTTCCCCAGTGATCTACACCTCTCGGCTTTCTGAAACTTCAGTGTCATTGTGGAGAATATAAAAATAAATGCCATCTATGGGGCATTGGGGACCATCAGGTATGGGCAATGAGAGAGACTATAACGAGGTAAAGATTTTTTTAAAAAAAACAGCCCTTACACCTTCCTCTGCCATATTATGACCCCCCCTCCTTGAAAATGATGAATAAAAAAGGAAGGCTTGTTTTAGAGAGGGTACCATATTGGGCTGATCTGGGCAAACTATTTTATTGACTTGCATAGAGAACAAGACATTGTGACTGAAGAATCTATAATGTTAGTTTGTGTTTTCAGTGGCTGTTTACTTTAACAGTTTGATTTCTTGTATCTTTTGACAAAATTTGTAATTTTGGCTAGTAATGGCCCAAAAAATTAGTAACATCTACAAAACTGAAGAGGCGGTGTGGGTTAGTGGCTAAGACACTGAGCCTGTCGATCGAAAGGTCGGCAGTTTAGCGGTTCAAATCCCTAGTGCCGCGTAACGGGGTAAGCTCCCATACTTGTCCCATCTTCTGCCAGCCTAGCAGTTCGAAAGCAAATAAAAAATGCAAGTAGAAAAATAGGGACCACCTTTGGTGGGAAGGTAACAGCGTTCTGTGTGCCTTTGGAAAGATGGACTATGAAAAATCTCAGTACCAGTTGAACAGAGCAAAAAATTGAATGAAATATGCATGTTTTTGAAGTTAGCACTTCAAATATCAACATTATATAGATGAGAACAACAAGCGATAAAGTGATAAACATTTGTACCACAAAGTATTGGTTTTTTTCCATTTTTCTTCATAACTGTCCATTTTAAGATTTTATTTACCTTATTTGGACAATGATAATTTATGTGTTACATTGATTGACTAAAAATAATGCTCTTGAATGAAAAAATAGTAAATTAAGTATGAAAATAATTCTTGAATATGGGACTATCAAAACATTGTCATTTCAAAAAGTATTAACTCCTGTGGTCACACATGTGACCTTAATATTGTCCCCGGCATTTCCTAGGCTTGCTGAATGAAAGCATTCAGGCAGTCTGATTTTAACTGACAGAAACATAGATTATTAAAACATGAGTGATGATAGGACAAGAAAATTAATGTTAATCAAAATAGATGGCAAACCCAGAATTAATGTAAATGTGATTGAGGTGGCAGGGAGAGTGATCCCTGGAATATTCTAAGTATTTGTGATTTACTATATGTAAAAATCATCCAGACCATAAAATATCCTCAACAATGCTGATAATGTTCTTTGGCAGCTCAGTGTTATAACAAACATTTCACTGACAGGATACATGAAGTGCAATAATAAAATATAAGAATATAGTTTCATATTTCCATGCTTCTTAAAGGAAATTATTCACAAAATATGAGTACATGATAATGTGGATTTGTCCTTGCATGCATCATTTCTGGAGAGAGATTAATAATGTGATGGAGGAAATAAAAGATTGCCTGCGTCGTACTGCATTTATTTTATGTGATCAGCTTCATGGCAGCTATAATTAGAGCTACAGTGTCCTCTAATTAGTCTACTTGGTGCACCATGTATATAGTGCAGAATTAAATATCATGACATCAACTGTTATCCAGTAAAACAAGGAATATTTTAATCTGTATAAATTGACCACATCCATTGGATACCAAAGTGGCTATAACAAAGTTGCATGAAAATAAACTTTTGTAGTTTTTGTTACTGAATGTCACATTTATTGATTCATTTAATTTGCATAATACTCTGTTATGAGTAAACTATTTTTGCTACCATGGTTTTCAGTTATACTTAACAAGTTTAAAGTAAAATTAGTTTTATGTGAAAAAAATAAATATAATAATATAATAATTGGCATAATAATCCAGGATGAATAAATAATTTAACTTGCAATTAAACAACATTACACAAGTTGTTTGACCAAGCTCAATAATATTGCTACAGCCTTGTGAGTCAGAAATTTATTTTTAATATTATACCTATCTGAAATATGTGAATGTTTTATCATAGAATGGGCTATCCTATACTATAGATGGGATTTCATTCATATTAACTGAACCTGATATATTCTGCAGATTCATATCTTTTTATAATTTATGGGATTGAGTAGAGTCTTTATTTTTTTAATTGTTCTCTTATTAGATGTTGCAAAGATAAAAAGAACAATATATTTCAATATCATTAAGAAAGTATTCAGGATGCTTTTAAAAATTGTAACTGTAATTAGCCTGAAATCATTTATAGAATTTTTGTTCAGTCACTTTGAAAACTTTGATGGCTTATAATTATCTTTAATATTCAGTGGGATGAATTTTGTAGAGTGATTGTGATCAGTTTCCATTCCATAGCCCATTGTGATATGGTTGGTTTAGTTTGTAAGGTTCTATCTTCCATTAACTTTTCTACCCATCTTTGCTAAAAGAGTTCGGAGGAATCTACCACTTACTTATCTGTTATATTAACTACTAAACAAAACTAATGTAACATTTTATGATTTTGCTATTTGTGGCCACTCGCATTTATATGAAATCATGTGGACATTTGATTTAATTTTTCATTCCATTACAGAATATATGCAAACTTAATTTTGTTCTAATTCTCATTATCTTTTTTTTAACGTGGTGAGCATGTACATTGTTTGAGTTTTGTTCTTATGCCATTGCAGTCTGAATTCCTGTTCCAAAGGAAGGATGTGAGATAGAGAGGATAGGGAGTAACTTTAAATATTACTATGGTATTCATGCATATACTCTGTGTCCATTTGACATTGTGATATATACTGGTTTCCTTCCAGTGAATATCAACAGAAAAACTATTTACACATTTGGATCCTGTTTTTCTTGGAGATATGGATTTCCCCTAATTCCCTAATTTATTATTTGATATTTTGACTCCAAGGGTATTATTATCTGATATTTTTAATGTATGTTATCATGTATGATTATTTCATATTCACTGATGGCTAATATCTGTTGTATAATTTTGCTTCATTTTTATTTATCTTATTCTTGTTTTCTAGACAGGTTTTCTGTTAAGCATGATTACTATTCTTTATGATTTGAATTCTTAAGTAGACCTTTGCTGCTTTTTGGAAGTTATTTAAAACTGGGTCAGCAGTTTGTGAGAGAATTGTGTTTCCAGTGATTGTGTAAGAAGGAAGAGATCACTATCTAGATGTAAAATATACTTCACTGACAATTTCTCATAAATAGTTCTATAGAGATGTTTTTTAAAAAATAGAAGCACATTTACTGGAAACACTCTACAAGTTATTTTTAAGATTTATTTTGTACTTTTTGTTATACGCTATTGCTGATCAATAATGGGAGGTATATTGTTAATTTTGCAGTCTGTTTTTAATCAATAAATCCATACATACACCTGGCAATCTGAGGCAATCTGATATTTACAGTAAATAATCTGTGGCAATCTATTACAATCAAAGAATTATAACCTTTATATATATTGAATATATCAGTTTGAATTAAACCCTCAGATTTAATTACATATGTCTAATACAAATGGAATTCTATGACATTTTAATCTGACCTGCAGCATGTTATACCGTAAATATGTGAGGTGTTTTTAAAAGCAATATTATATAAGAAATCATTTTTCCTGAATATTTTGTGAACATTTCTATCAAATAACTTGGCTTTCCTCATCCAAAATTCTCTGGCAGTAATTATAATACATGTTTTATTGTTAACACAATAAATAATATCAGGAGAACCATTTTAATATGCATCCAATGAAAGTAACATTTGTGGATAAAAAAATTTCTTTGGCATGCAGGAACAATGTTCTTTTATCCCTTGTTGCTATAAGAGACTTTGGAGCATATCATTTTGAATAAAACTGTGAAGCAAAGCCCCGGTGGCAACCTGTAGAGGGCTCTGCAATACCATCTTTTGCATCAAAAGTAGCTTGAAGGAAGGGGGAAGGGAGCAAAGAACAAGTCTGGGTTTTGTTTGGTAAACAGGCAAGGAATTGTGGGCAAAGTCCTTTATCTTGTGGCTTGCATGGGATTAGATGACGCAGTCCAAACTCATTATTTTAATAGCCTACAGCTAGTTCACGTAGCAAGAGGAGGCCATGCCCGCCTTGAAAGAGGCAATTTAATTGCTTTAAGTTCAGACTGGTACATTTTAATTGTAACAAGAATATTCAAATGCATGGGGTGTTTGTAAAAGAAGGCAGAACACAAGTTGCAGATATTTCAGTAACAAGTACATACAGTATAACATAGTTTCATGGTTTTGTAACAAGCATGATTTTATTTAACAAATTCATAGAGGCTTCAAAGCAGTTGTGTTATTAGGAAATTAATTAAATACCAGTTGTATGCATTTTTCCCACTTATTTCTAACAGACTTTCCTATGTTGCCTCAATTTTTTTTTTCTTTCTATCATTTTTAGGTATGGTGATTGTTTTAAACTTTTAGCAAATGGTATGTTGAATTTCTTCTCCTGGTTTGTTTTTTCAGTTATAATTTGTTTGATTTACTAGTAATGAATTATTAATTTTTATTTTTATTTTTACAACAGTGCTGATACAACAAATTGAGGGGGAAAAACAGTTTTCTTCTCTATTCAAGAGAAAGTGCATTCTGATTCAGAAGGGATGTGCTTTCCTATCTGCAGTCTCTTATTGCCTTGAGTGACTGAGGAGGAAGTAGAAAAGAGAAGAATTTACCTCTTCAAGAGCACCAACAGATCTCTTTATAAAATGATTTTAACACTTACAGTTGATGCTGTTTCTTATTTTTATTGTTCTATATTCTCAGCAACCCACTGGGCCAGTGTATGAAAATCTGTCATTATTTTCTTTTCAAATCATTGTTCAAATGTTATTGTTAAATATATATTTATGTATATGCATTTCTACATGTAAGTATAATTTAGCACTAGGGTCAAAGAGAATCAAATTCTGATCTACTCTCAGTGGAAAGTCAATGGAAAGCCCTCTTTTTCAGCCCAACCCATCTCACAAACTGTTGTTGTGGAGAAAAATTAGAAGAAGCATTGTGCATGCTGCCTTGCGTCTTTGAATGACTTGGATGAAAAGAGATACAATAACAACAACATGAACTTCCATTATGTAATAATTTCATCTCATACCATACATTTTCATAATACCATAGATTTTCAACAAACTTCTAAGTAAATATTAATTTATAAGTATGGCTTAATATATTGTAATAATTTCAAAGACCAAAGAGTAGGACAGTAGTCTTTAGTTTTTAAGAAAACATAGTATTCTCTAATCCCTAACAACCTAACCCCTTAATGCCTGGCCATATTGGGTCTAAAAGAAGAAAATTGACAGATGTGTAGAAGATAATATTGCAGTAGATTGTCCTTATCCTTTGTGAGGTATATTTATTTATTCATTTCCTCTATCCTGAAGATTATTGGTGTATTACCACATCAAAATTCAAACGATCAACTCATCTTTCATTTCATGAACTGGAAATCCACTAGTTTCTTTAGCTCTTGAAAGGTCTCCTAACTGGTCTTCTTTTTGCATGGATTGTGAAGAAATCTGATCATCTAGTAGAATAATGTAAAGACGTCACCTTTGTAATAGCTTTCCATCCTAAAAATTGGTGTTTTCTCAAAGCTAGAAATAAAAGAATAAAAAATTACAATATTTGTTTTTAGTGATGCACTAATTGAATCCTAGATATCATGTCACTTAATAAGAGCTGTGTAGTCTGGATTAAATTAAACAATTAACGATGTATTTAAAAATATGTTTCAAATATAATTGTATTTTGCTGAAGAAATATTACACCATCCAACCTATTCACCTGGAGTAGGTTATACATTTTGAAGATTTTTCTTTTATTGCTGTATAGTGTAATAAGGTATCTGAACCATTTTAAAATGGGTTATGAAATGTTCCCATAAAACTATTTTCTATGATTTAGCAGTAACCCATCAACTATGTATTGTTAGCAGCAAGTGGTGACTAGTTTGTTAATTAATGACCCAAAGCAAAAACAAAGCTGATGAATGCCCTAACAATCTAGCTGTTAAATGCTTTGAAAGTGAATTCTGAGATGATAATTGGGACATTAAATTGTAGTCAGTGGCTTTTATGTCTTTATTAAGCTTTTGAAAAATTAGCCAGGACAAACTTTTCCATTACAGAACATAAGACATTTATTTGGGTCCATGCAGTAAACCATATGAACTTGAAACTTGTCAGGAATTGCTGACAAGTGTGGTAATTAACTGCTAAAAACTAAACAAATGGTAGTTATCACTGAAAAAGGACATGCTTGAAAATATTGTTCTAGTTAAATTTAAAAAGAGAAAATTAATAGTAAAGGAGAGAACTCAAAATTATATTTCATACTTCCTAATCATCCATGTCCCTCAGAAAAGAGCTTTGAGTGTATCAATTTAATCAATAAAATTAAGCATTAAAAACAACTTTTTATCCACCTTCATTATTTTATTATAAATAACTCAATGTGGCAAACATACATAATTTTCCTTCTTCCTATTTCCCCACAACAACCTTTTGAGGTAAGCTAAGAGAAAGTGACTAGCCCCACTTTCAGCCAACAGTGTCAGGCTTGGGCATGAGTTGGTCAGTTAATTCCTATCACAATCAATGGATCAACACTAAATTAATTTTTAAAAAGAAAATCTTGCACTTGTGGGAAAACACTATTTAAAAAAAATATTCCCTTCTATGCATTATTTGACAATATTTGGTTTACCAGGAACAAGGGGAGGTAAGAAATGAATAGCATAAGGAATATTCCCATGTACTTGCACCAAATGTTTACAGTTGCCAATCCATAGTAATTTTCCCATAATATTGGTATCACTGCTTTTATAGGTTTATGACTGATGCTGCTCGTCGTGAGCAGGAATCTCTCAAGAAGAAAATCCAACCTAAACTCTCCTTGACCTTATCAAGCTCAGTGTCCCGTGGGAATGTATCTACTCCTCCACGTCACAGCAGTGGAAGCCTTACTCCACCTGTCACACCTCCGATCACCCCTTCCTCCTCATTTCGTAGTAGCACACCAACAGGTAAGATAAAATGGATTTGCTGTTTGTGGTATAAACTTTAAAAAAAAACAGCAGCAAAAAATAGAAAACAAATCTTAGTAAAGTTAGACTTCAAAAAGAATCAGCATTATTTAAGTTAAATTTAATTATTTCTTAAGAAATAAATCGCATATGTATTATGGATGGACTTTCTTTTCTGACCCAAAGTTTTTACAGGCATGACCTCTTTTTCACACCATGTTTGTCTTTTTGTTCATTTATTCAATTATTGCAGATGAAGGGGAAACAAAGACAAGTGTTGTTTCCAGAAAAAAATTAAGAAATTGAACAGGGAGATATAATAATAATAATAATAATAATAATAATAATAATAATAATAATAATAATAATAATAATAATAAACAACCACCACCACCACCAAAGGGCTAGCTCGCTATTTAGAAATTCTAAATTTACCGGACTTGAACATTTTGACTCTACAAAAAACCACTTTACTCGGAACAGCTTACATCCTCCAATGATACCTTAACAGTTCCTAGGTCCTTGGTTAGGACTCGAGCTGCTGAGCTATTAACCAGCCTCAAAGGCTGTGAATCTCACGAAAGATTAACCAATAATAATAACAACAACAGAGTTGGAAGGGACCTAGTCCAATCCCTGCTCACTCAGGGCACCTATACTAGGGATTTGAACCACTGAACTGCCAACCTTCCTGATCGGCAAGCTCAGTGTCTTAGCCACTGAGCCACCTAGCCAGGCTCAGGTATCATAACCCTGTAGCAATAAAAGTAACGCTTGAAATAGGGGGTGAATATTTGTGAGTGTGTGAAAAGAGAAGGATATTTTTACTATAATGAGAGTAAGATGTTTTGCAAACTTTTTGTGAAATTAAGCAAAAATGATCCTATATCACTTCTCCCTCTTTCAGAACCAGTTATTCAATATAGAGAAGGCCTTTGTCAAAAGAAAAGTTTTAAACAGGCAAATCAAGTTTAATACTCCAAAAACGTCAGAAAGCTTCACAATATGAATGCTACTCAATAAGGCTCATTGCACAAGAGATCACAAAATGGCATGCACTAAAGTACTATGGCAAAATCCCTATCAAGTGTGTAGTACTTTCATACAACTCCTAGTACCACCACTCCTAATTATATTTTTAAGCATCACCTATATGAAATAAACACACAATATGTATTTATCTCATATTGATAGCCTGGCACAATCTCAAACAGATTTTTGAATGCTCACAACATGAGAAACAATAATAACAATAAACAATCAAAATTCACATATATATTCTAGATGAATGAAGTCAGACACTGAACACCCACTACAATACCCTTTAACTGTGTACACAAATTTTATAGATTGGTAGTAATTTAGGAGCTTCAGTAGTTGAACCAGACTATTCATCTCAATACGTTTTAGTTGAATATATTGCCATTTCTCAATCTCCCCTTGTCAAGCATGTTGATTATTTTACTTATTCTATCTATAATACAACAATCTCCCTGGACTGCTCACTCTCTCTTGGAATAAATAAATGGTATTTAGGAGAGGTCCATCCTAGTTCGCTCATACCTGCACAACTACTAAAGCTTACTCCCCACTTGATCCCTACTCCAGGTGGTATGCCCTACAAAGCATCTCTATGATTAGAGAATTCCTCTCCATTCCCCAAAAAAGTGAAGCTCAGGTGTAGCCTGGTGTGTTGTGCTCCCCTATTCCCCTATATTGCACATTTTGTCTCCGTCAGCAATTGGTTTTCATCCCTATCTGCAGACCTTTTGTAAGACAATTTAAGTTGGTCTGATGGCGCCCTTAAAAGGGTTTGAGCAGCATGTTGCTCCTGTAGAAAATCTACCATTCCTGGGATAAACTTTTTTGTGATGCTGCCAGCAAATTCTTTGGGTGCTTAATATATAAGTCTAGGAAAACAGTCATAGCAATGTATTTATGGGTTGAATTATTCTAGGAAAATTTTGCAAGTGGTAGGAATGAGGGCCAGTTATCTTGGAGGTGGTATACTAGCATCTTAAATACTGATGCAGCATCTGGTTAGTCTGGTTAGTTTCTAAGTCTCACCATTTGTAGCAGGGTGATAGGCTGGTGATAGGCTGATCTGGACTTTCAAAAGCTGAACAGCACCATCCAAAACCTGGAAGTAAATTGACTTTTGCAATCAAAAATTAGCCTAGGAACCATTCCACCATAGCAAAAGACATGTTCCAAAAAGAGCTGGATTGTCTCCCTCGCTGTAGGCAAACCTTTACAAGGGATGAAATGTACCAGCTTGTTGAAAAGATATACCACTTCCAATATGGAATTATAGTCTTGGACTTGTGATAAGTCCAGTGACATTGTATACTAGGGCTGAGATGGTGTTTCCAAGGGACACAACAGCCCTGCAGGTTTCTGATGCTGACGTTTCACCTTCCTGAATTTATGGCAAGACCCTTGATGTCTGTTGCCACTGTAGGCCACCAAAAGTCTGTCAATGTCCTATGTAGCATCTTGAATACATCCCATGCCCTGTTGTCTCTCTATCATGGCAAAGCTGTAGAATCTCCTCTCTCAAAGCACTGGAACTACGATTCTGCCTTTATGTCACGAAGGCCTTTTTCTGTTAAAAATTGGGATACATTACTTGGCAGGGTTCCCTGAAGGTCATCCATTCAGGCCTGCAAGTTATGAGTCAAATTGCTGCTGCAC